TTTCACCTGAAGTTACTCTTGATATTCTTGTACGGGTGGGCATATAATAATTAAGAATTTGAAATTGAAAAGTACAATTCAAGCAAAATGTACATGTTCATTTAATTCCACACAAGTTTTTACTTTTTCTTTTAATATCTTTTGATTGTCATAAAAATATTAAATCCTTAATACAGATTCCTTAATCGTCGTTATAAATTATTGCCTAAATAGATAAACAATTAAATTTAAAACTTTATACTTAACTGATAATTTATTCAACTTAGTCACCTTTAAATAAATACTAAAAATTTATATAATTCACTATCTTATTATTATTAAAAATACCTACATAAAATGTATAATTCTATTTTTGTTGTAGTAAAAAAAATTAAAATTTTTTAAAAGTTATATTTATATTTTGTTTATTAATTGATTTGAGTAGTATTAGATAGCTAAATGTTTTTCTTCAGTATTAAAATGGTATTAAACAAAAATATAATATAGTTCACTTATATTGAGTGAACTTTTTGACTGTGTGACAGATTTTTCCAGTTTAAAGTGTGCTCATATTCACAATTCTTGATTTTTTTGTGAATGAGTATTTTTTCTGTTTGTTTTTTTTTTAATATACCCCACTCTATTATATCCATAATACTTTTACCTTTATCTTTTACCTATAAAAGAAAAAATAGAAAAATATTATTAAAATTTCTTTTAAATTGAAATAATTGTGAAAAAATTGTATCATATAAAGCCAAATCGATGTGTCAGTTCATAGCAGTTGTCGACTGCAGTATTGCTTCTGAAATAGGTTATCGAAGTTATCAGTTATCAGTTATTAGTAAAATAGTAACTAAGAAATAAATGTTTTTATTTATTATATTTGTAGAGCAAATTTAATATTGTTGTAGTGTAGTATTTGGATTGTTGTTGGAGAAGGTATGGGGGTAAAACGGTAATGTGACGATTGAATTTTTGCAGAACGCTCTTTCATCCAACCTTCTCTGAGTCTTCCTTCTAATTTTTTTTCCTATATCAAGCACTATTCATTAGTTCCAATTTATAAATGCATATGTTTTACATTTTTTGAGAGAATAATATGACACTGTACAAAAATTCAGTTTAGTGACGATTTTAATATACTTGCTTAGAAAATTTGAAGTAATAATAACCAGACTGAGAATAGGACACACAAAAATCTCCCACAGTTTTCTAATGTCCAGGGAAGAACCTCCAATATGCACTACCTGCGGTTTCAAGTAACCATTAAACACATACTCGCCGATTGCCGAACATATCTCAATACCAGTGTTAGGACTTATCTAGATAAATTATCCAGATAATAATTATTTTCTCTTTTATCTTATCTAGATAAATAAATATAAGTTATCTAAGTATTTATTTTAGATAAATATTTGACTTATCTAGATAAATTTAAAAGATACATTTTTTAGTGAAAATGAGATAGATCTGTACCAAAAATATTATTAACTATGTGAATTTTGTTTTTGGTCCAC